CGCAGCTAAACAAGCATTTCCTTCAAGATGGATAAGATCAAAAATATGTGATGGCTGCAAAAGAAACCCTCAAATTAAGCAGCAACAGTTCAACAATCTCTTATAGTCCTTTATGCCTATACCCGACTCAATGTCAGAAAGAACCACCATGGTAACATGCTATTACACGAAGCTCAAATCATCTTAAACTGCTTTCTTGAACATGAGAATGAGTTCACTTCACTCTAATGGCCTCCACAGTCATGAGATCTAAATCCAGTAGATCACTTTTGGAATGTGGTGGATTGGAGGATTCACATGATGGATGTGTAGCTGGCATATGTGCAACTGTGCTATTCTAGGAGCTTGGAAAGAAAGCAACTCGTCTTCTTTAAGTTTTTTGAAAGTTCAAGAAACTTCAAAAGGTCCAGTCGCTTTCTTTCCAAGCTCCTTAGACTACCACGACCTGGATGACTGAGAACTGACATGAGGAAATCCGATGTGTGATTTCCTCATGTCAGTATAGACCAAAATCTCTGAGGTGTGTTTCGAACTTTGGAGGAGCAAGGGGTGCAAGTCAGTATTAGCAAGGTTTACATAATAAAGAGGCCAACGAGTGTGACTGGATCATTGTGGACTTCATCAAAAGCAGGAACCGCTAGCAAATTTAGTCCCACGAGACTGAGAGGTGTCCTCATTATCCCAAGATTCCACAAAACACAGTGATACATTGAAGAAAATGCAATGCTTTAATCCATCATTAAATTTGTCTGCACCGTTTATCCCACAAAAATGCAAAATTGAAGTTCATTTTCTGTTCCTCTTGGTATTTTTCAAGCTTTTACTAATCTGTATAGTTCACACAAATCTTTGAGGAGTCACAGCTTGGTTCACAGATGCACAGTGCATCTGTGTTAAAGCGCAAACTCAAAGAAACGTCAGTAGTACTACAGTCCAAAGATATTACTGACCAACACAGAGTTAGTCAGTAATATCTTTATAGTATATTTATAGTAGTCTTTTAAAGTTAAGATGGCTTAAAAGTAAACACATCTAAATTACCAACATCTGAAACATTCGCAGTGGCCTTGCAGACTATGAGCTTCCTCTTGGTGCATATGAGACTTGAAACACATTAAAAGGAGAAGACTTTTGGAGGCATGTCCAGTAATTCTGATTAGACTACATCTGAGGTACTGTGGTGTCCTCAGTGCTTTCCATACTGTAGTACCATGAAATAAACTTCCGTGCCGTATGGCAGATTTTGACTAAATTCCTTATTTTTGTGTCTAGCTTGCAATATGCTGTTCATTTCAGTGGGCTCACCGGTTTTTTTCTCTATTCCTCTTTATTACATTTGCCCTTTGGAGTCAAATTGTTGTCACAGCTCCTGTGGCTACAGTGGGTATTGTAGCTGTCAGGGAAGTAGTTACTGTTTTGAATGGCCTCCTAAGTACAGGTGGAGTGTAATGGTGGGTTCTGGCTCTGCTGTGGAAAGCAAAGCTTCTAACAACAGGCCTGAGGGGGAAAGAGAAAGTTACGACATGCACACACACGAGGGGTGAGCAGATAGACTTACTCGGTAGCTTCTTTTTAACATTTATCAGACAAATACTTCCTTTTCATTTGGTGATAAGACAATGTTAAGCTTTTTCCGAGTAATGACCGTTTTATCAGAGAATATAAACTTTTCCGTCTGTTTTTTAAAGCCTTTTTCCCAAAATTTTCTGTAAACACAAATTACAGAACTACGATTATTTATTTATTTTTTTTAAAAAAGCTGCTGCATAATAATTGACTCGTTTCCACCGATATCATATGAGAGTCCGCTCCCTGGCCTTTAGGCGACGCTGTTTTACGCACTGCAATCCAAACCAAATCCTGTGTGAAGTGGAAGTTTTTCTGATTTCCACGTTTAGTAATCTGACACCCAGACTCTGAGCAGAAGGATGGACCCTTAACTCGGCTGGGAGGACGGAAGGAAGGAGCAGTCATCCAGCGAGCAGGAGCGAGCAGAAGCGAAACGCTGTACGCAAAAAAACAGCCCCGTGGCTCCAGCAGCGGAGAAGATCTGGGTGCCAGCGCGTCTCCAGTTAACTGTCCGTCTCACTCAAATGATCTCAAAGCGACAAGTTTCACTTTCCACATGCGAATGGGTGACTTTCCGCAGCGCTTTGTGAGGAGAAGAGGATGAAGAATTTCAACAGCAGTGCCCTTCACAGCCATAGCCAGTCTACCAACCACATTAGAGAGCGAAACAACAGAAAGTACAGCTTACTCTCTGTTTTACCGTTGCGATTTTCTCTCCGAGGTTATGGGTTCTGCATGGCTACGCTGTTTCTCTTCTGTTTCGGCTCCCTATTTTACCAGCTGAACGGAGGACCTCCTAAAATCCTGCTAGACATCAGACAGTATCTCGGTAAGAACTTTTCCTTTAAAAAAAAAACCCTCCTTCCTGAAGGTCGTTATCAAAATAATAGTAAGAAGTTGCTCTCCACGTCTGGACATTGTTTATCGGTAGGAGTTATTAAGAAACGTTTATCAAAAATGGAAAGGGTCTCTTTCATGAAATCCACCGGAGGCCACATCGTCTCCTCAACCTCATTCAGCCCAGATGGACAAAACCGATTTTCTCTCGTGCTTATTTCTAAGTGTTAATTTATCCATGTGGCGTTTGTATTTTAAACCCAAAAAGACCCCCACATTTTAATATCAATGCAGACACTAACTATTGCATATACACAGCTGTGTATCATCCCAAGTCAATATCATCCCGTCAGTCTACAAAGATTCACTCATTTTGTTTAACCACCTAAACCTGGGGTATTTATCGTCACTTTTACGCCGCTGTGAGTTCTAAGAGCATGATTAAGAGGTGTTATGGTAACTAGAACTTAGCAACTGTTAGGATTCATGCTGAAGACTGACGCCTCTTCTTGTACAGCCAGCTGGTGCGCTCCAGCCGCGCAGCTCTCATTACGCACGGCTTGCACCGGTTGAACGAGGGGTGAAAGGCTGAATTTATGCGGTTATTTAAAGCCTAGAGTGCATCTGTGGTTGTTTTAATAAAAAGCACGCTACAATGTTGCCAGTTTTTTAATGACAGGCAGTTTTCCAATTCAAAATATTCTGGCCTGAAGGGATTATTTTAAAATATTTATATAGATATATTTTAACATTACTTGGCAGCTATATTTCTGTCATTACAGTGTACTGGATCTTAACTACGGTAAAGTGGATAAAGTCTACTGTGTGTGTGAAAAAGAGCCCATTTGTGGCCACATCTGCCACAGGCATATGTCTGAGTGTCAGCCTCTAGGATAAGATCTGTCAAGAGTCAAAAGGCAGTGTCTGCTTGTACAAGTCTGATCTTGTGACTTTAACCACTTTGATACCCTAAACAGAATCAGATGCAAAGGTGATTTTCCAGCGAGAACACGGCCTGTGTTTTGAAAAAATTAGCTTGCATTTCTACCTATTTCTCACAGGGGGCTAACCTTTTATCATGTGATAAACATCTGGAACAGAAGGAGAGTCACTTTCCAGGTCAGCTACTAATCCCCTGGGTCAGATTGGTTTCCTGTAGACACACACATGCACACAGTCTAACCGACTGGCATACAAATACATAGGTAGACTAAAGTTTCACAATATTGTCAAAAATAACTTGGATTTCATTCAAAGCATAAGCACAGATTCCTAAAATAGAACGTTTTACATTTTTTTGAAGAGTGCTAAAATATTAGCAGTAGCAGTAGCAAAGTAGGTTTGTATAGTTCACACTGCAGAAACATTCAAGTTTGGAGCCTAATAATGCAATCTAGAAATCACGGCAGTCAACACCAGTTTATTTTATTTTAAAGTACTTGCACAAAGCTAATGCATGCATGGTAAGATAGCCTCCTTACTGCAGCACTGCTTCTGAGAAGTGCTCTATTCTGAACAAATACACTGATATGCCTAGGCTGATGATGGGGCAGATGTATGTGCTATTACCACAGACGAGCAAGCAAGCAAATTACATCAAAACACCATTAGGAAAAAAGAAATGTATAATTTGGTCCACAAGGCTGAGTGTTAATGGCTTATAGGGCATAAGCCATTGACACTCAGCCTTGTGGACCAGGATGAGGAATCCCTCTAGAAAATCTAGTCTCTGCTCCCACCTGCATGATTGATCTCCACAGCATCTCTGCACAGAGACCCTGTGGACCTGAGCCTTGTTAAACAGTGACTCCACTGTAGTGTATGGAGTTCAGGAGGGTTTTTCTTTATGTAACAGCGCCACAGTGTAGCACCTCAACTGGGATGTGGATGAGTAATCGTCTGCATTTATTATGATGCTGAGGCAAAGCAGAAAGACTTTGTAGCTGAAAGTTGTGACAGGGTCAAATCGATCATATAAAGTTAAAGGTTTTTTTGATGTTGTTTTGTTTCCTGAGTCTGAGTCAGCAGGTTTGTGACAAGTTTCAGGTAACTTTGTTGCAGTTGGGTTGGTGTGTAAAAGAGCTTGAGATGTGGTCTGCTCATTGTCTCTATTCTGAAGTGTGTGTGGTCTTCAGGGAGAGACCGTGGAAGGAAGAAATCTAGGATAAAGGAGGGACGGTACAAAATACTCCTGTGATTGGGACTGCTTTGAACAGGTTCATAGGAAAGTCATTTTCACAAAGAGCTCACACGGTCTTCACTCTTAGTTTGTTGTGTCTGTTATTCAGAACCCAGATGCAAGCTCCAAAAACCGTATAAGGGGAAACTTCACAAATCACCAGAATTATGAGAAGAAGCAGACCTTTAAAATAAATGCCTCCTTCTAGTGAATAAAATAATAGCACTTATAAATCAATTACTTTTAATATAACAGCTCTAAGCCTGTCGTTGGCATTTCTAACTAATGCACCGCATTTTCTCTGATGAAGAGATACTTTATGTCTGTTGCTGTGCCTCGTTGAACACACGTGTGACCTCACTTGTGTTACTTTTGGCTGCGCTGTGCCAAGATGAAGGTGAGGAATCCTGTTGAGGTGGGTGAGTGTGGGCGTGCACGTGGAGGTTGGCAGCTTGATTTAGTGTGATTGTGTGATAGGTGTGTGGGTTTCTCTCAGTCAGATGTTGCCGGTAGGGAACAGACCTTGTTTTGTTTGGCTCGGTGGGGAAGTCGGCGGATGAGGATGTCACTCAACATGCCGTATAGTCGCAGTAACTAAACTGCCGTGCAGACCTTTAAACCTGCTGAATTTACAGCCTCCTCACCACTGTGCGTTCACACTCGCTGACCTTGTCTAACACTTTCTCGTGTCCGTCTTTCCCTCCTTTGCTCATAAACTGTATGCTGACCCAGCTACCTTGCCAGAAAATGCCTCTTCTTGCCAGGGGGTGTATGGACATGTCTGTGTGGCAAAAATCTGTATATAAATGAAAAGTTACGACAAAGCTTCAACGACTGGGAAAGAAGCGTTCTTCATATTTTATGCCATATTTTTAAGTGCTTGGAGCTGAGACAGCAAAACAGAGCGAAGCACAATGCCCTCTTTAACTGTGCTCTTACTCAATACATGGCGCACTTACTCCTTTAACATATATTTCGATTTAATGGACTTTTAAGCAACATTTAAGTATGCACGTCTTTCTAAGTGTTTGTGTGTTGTTATAGCCCCCAGTCTTCTTGCCATGAATCATAAATGCTGAACTTGATGTGGCTGGGAGTCTTTCACCACTAACTTTGCTCTGCTTCTCAAAAGAACCCTTTAACCTTTTTAAAACACACACACGTAAATGTAACTTTTCAGAAACGGGCCAGTAAAGTGTCCGAGTTGGAGACTCTGGGGCGGTATTAGGGATTAGACAAGTATGCGTGGACACAGAAGAAGCTTTAGGGTCGCTCGGCCTCCCTTCAGTTTGTGTCATGTTTGCACCTTTGCTGGCCAGGAAGTGGTTCAAAGCAAACTTTTTAAGTGAATTCAAATAAAGTTTAGTTTGGCTGGTCAGTGCTTAGTAGGTGTAGTGACATAAACCTTATATGTATATAATAAATTCAGGGAGGATGAGTTGAGAATTGCTGCAGAGAGAGAAAAGGAAGATTTTCCTGCTGTTAGAAGAACACATACTGTTCCTTGACCTCCTACAGACTCATGAATAATACAAAACGAGTATAACACTGTGTCTTACATACCTTAACAGGGCTGAAACCGCTAATGTAGAGGTGCTTAAACTGTGGGGTGGACCAGACTAGTGTGGGTTATAACAAAGTTAAACTAAACTGAATTAATTAGATTCTAGCAGTTTGCTGATATATTGTGCTTACCATTATTTTCTATTGCTCTACTTATATTATTGTATTCTTATTATTATCTAAAATAAATGATGGAGTTTGAGGTGTGAATCCATTAATGGAGTAATTGTTGTAAGTAAGTCTGGAAGTTAATGAGATGGCGAGGCCTCCGTCGTCCATCAGTGTGCCTATCCATCCATCCCTCCCTCCACAATTCACAAAATTAGCTACTTTTCTCAGAGCGCTGGGCAGATTTTAGCGAAGATTGAACACAATGACCAACTAATGGATCCTTTTTCCCATTTTTATGCTCTTCTCCTCACTGAGTATTGCTCAGATTGCAGTGAAATTCGATTAATTTGTTTTGAATACGTCTAATTGAGAGCCTTCCTGCCTTCTTCATGGATTTTATTTCTCATTGGTTTGTACACCGAACCAATGACAGCTTACAACTTTCTTTCTGTGCTTCACGTACTATATTAACCTGCCAGATGAGCTACTACATCATTGATATTCTGGTGGTCAAAGATCAGATGCATTAAACTGCTCATCATTCCTTTATTTCACATCAGAATAACCTTTTCGCTTTACCTTTTGCACCGGTGACCTTTACAGACCTCTAACTTCAAATCTCACCTTCTGCTTGAATTTAAATATTTTATAGTTCACAGTTAATAGTGTGTATTTTATGCACACGCATGCACTTTTATGTTTACACACATACTGAAAAAGCTGATGAGTTAGTCACATTAAAAAGCTTTTTTTGAACGAGGCAGTCATGTAAGTGTGAATTCTGGAGCAAACTCGCCACTGTAGTCACACAAATACACCCACTTCCTATTAAAGGATATTAAAAACAAGCTCTTTTTAAAATTTAAAATCATATTTTGCACTTTAAAATGACAGATTTATTGGCACTGACTCTTTGCCCAAAGTGACAGTCTCCAGGATTCATGGCAGTAGACCAAATGTCACATAGAGTGAAAATCAGGCCAGTGCTGGTCAAGCTGTCAGTCAGCATTTTCAGCTGCCTAACAGGGTTGCCAGATGTGCACTTTGAGCCTAAGTGAAATCGGTGATGTGGAAAGGTGCTTGAGCTCCCGGTTTAATTCTTTACTTCACACCTTTTCATTTTTGCTATTGACTTGTGC